CTTGGCCACCTGGATCCAGTGGGCCTTGGAAAGATTCGCGTCATCGAGTCCCAACGTGAGAAGTACTATGACGATGGTGAGGTTTTGGTCGAGACAGAGCCTTTCCGCTACGAGCTTAGGGACATCAAATTGGATCGCTTGCGCACTGAGACTCAGGAGAACTTGACTGAGTTGGGTAAGTCTCTTATGGTACACAGTGCGAGCTTATCAATAATATGCATTTTTTCTGTAGTCACTAGGAAGCTGGAAAATCTGGAAGACAAATACAGCACCGTTGAAACCATTCTTAGCTATAGCTTCGACTATAATCAGTATTGGGGATCCCATGAGGGTGTGGCCCGTGGCTTGCCTACCAAAATATTCGAGAAAGATGTGTCCGTCCCGGCTGAAATCTACTGGGCCCTCAAGCACACCGAGAGAAAATCGGAAAACAAGGCGGTCCACACGAAACTCTGGCCCGGCACGGCTATCAATGTTACGCTACGTGGAGTCTATGTGACTCTAGAGGCTCCGTATAGTGGCAAGCTCTTTGCCTTCTACTACGGCAGCGATGAGAGCGTTTCCCGGAAGATCAGCGCGGAGGCAAGTGTTAAAGTCCTTTGTTAAATTCGGATTCTAAATTATATAACCTCACAGGTGCGCAAGAGCTACTTGAAGGAGGTAAAGCTGGAGTTCAGCCCCGTCTACTTTATCGAGAACGGAACTATCGTACCCACAACGACAACAACAACGACTACATCTACATCGACCACGACACATGCCACCACAACCAGCACGAATGAGCCCACGCCCATCAACGAGCCGCCGCTGGTCCATATGAAGGACCAGGGAGTGCAGCACTCGGGTCCCGATACGCTGGAGAAGACCTTGCACGACTCGCCGTCCAGCAACGAAGTGAACTCGCACGAGGCCCCCGAGAACATGTCCTCCAATCCTGGCAAGGACGTGGCGCTGGCAGGGTTCGGAGGCAACGCAGCGGGGTCGATATCAACAGCAGGGTCGGCTTTCTTGACGCTACTTCTGACGGTCTTTATGAGTCTGTAGATGGAATTGAGGTCTTAGAATAGCGTTTAATTGTTGTTGTTGTACCTGTTGTACCCGTCTTTGAGAGCGTCAGAGAAAAGAAACACGCAGATAGAAATTATAGGCTCCGAAAGGAGTTAGACATATAGGTAACCCCAGAACTGGGAAGAAATTTGGTGTGAAAACGGAAAGCAAAAGTCGATATTTTTTATACTTGTCCCAAGGCTTCTTCTATAACACGCATGCAAGTAGCGAAATGAATTGAAATGATCAAGAAAATAAACGTAATACATTCCTAAACTGAATCCCTCACAAACGGAAATAAATCAAAAGTATAAATTAAAAGTAAATATATATATTCATGAATACTACGTTTATGTAGAAATATTTTTAAATGTTTTTTTTATTTGCAATGCAACATAACGTCATATGATTTAAATGGCTTCTCATTTGTGTACACATTAATAGCAAGTAGAAAAAGTACTAACAATGAATGGACAATTATTTAGGGATGAAATTAAAAATCGCGCTCTCTAAATGATGAATGTATATGTCTAAAATGTAAAACTATGTAAAACATAAGCTATAATTTAAGTCAAACGCTCCAAATATGTAAATTAGAAACTTTTTATTTAAACCCCTTGAATTTAAATATGATTTGCGTTTCTTTAAGGTCAATCTTTATCGGATTTTGTTTCCAAATTGAAATACGTCGAAGAAACAATGAATCTCTAATTTCGTATAAAATAAAAATAAAGCTTGTAAATGAAACATTCGAAAATTAATTGGTTTTCCCTATACTCAAAATTTAAATTAATCTTTCTTTCCATGGTATTTATTTTCGTGCTAAGTATCTTTCTTTTATTGTCCCAAAAGAAAATGTTAAGAATAGCTTTTGTGTATCTCAACTTCGATTTAATAATTCCGGTTAGTTAAATATAATTATTTCTTAAAGCGTTCATGCGAGAGTTACTTAACAACCGACTGTCGCCGTATTAAGAACCAGGTCTAAAATTTTTTACCCAAGTAGGCTGATTGACTGCAGTCAATTTGTTACAATTAAGATTTAGCTTGTTCATTCTAGTCCTAAACTTTCTAACGACCAATTTATAAATATTTACAATCAAAAGAATAGCTCAATCGGGTTTCGAGGCAGAACTTAGTGAAAGTCCTATTCATCTCATGATATATTCAAAGCACAATTCATCGTTAGCCTCACCTTTATATCCAAATTGGCACTGCGGGTAACACCTGCGTCTACCTTTTATTGTAATTGTACTGCCATTGACAAAAAGAGTTGACAGGTGATACATGAGCGGGTGCTAAGCGGTAGAAAATAAATTAAATAATCAAAAAGAGACGGTAGCCAGCATTTCGTTTTGGCTATTTTCTACCTAGTTGTTCGTGGACTCCTTTTAACAGCTGATGGTAGCCGGTTAGCCATGATTTTAAACTTTAAGTTGCATTTTTTTATTCGCGTCTTGTCAATTTAAACAACCAATTAGCATATTGAAATGCCATGCAGTCTGCTGGGCTCTAGGTTACAATGCAAAGCACGTTGTGTTGATAATGAAATATATGCTCATTTATAATACACATCACTTCATCGCTCGTTCTGCGCTGTTGGACACTGGTGCCCAAAAGCGCTTTTAAACCGAAGCAAAAAGTGGTTTCGCATTACAATCCCATGTATTGTTTTGCGAGCGATATTTTTAAAGCGTGACCACATGACGGCTAACGAACGGGTTTTGATCTGGGCGGCAGGGCAATTGAACTTGTATCATTGTTGCTTTGGGGGCGACAGTCCAATTGGAAAGGGGAAGCCTATAATCTATCATGCAAAAATTTCCGTGGCCAAATCGCAGTGCGAACATTGATTTAGCACCTAAAGTGTGGGGCTACAAAATCCGCATGAATTTATAAGCGGGGATGCGAGTAGCGCGAGTTTGCTAACCAACTCATCCTCGACTGTTGCTCTGGTCTGCTGACCAAATTCGCTATGCATGGATTGCCTGAAACAAAAGCCGCCAGCACCGCAGGGTCCAACCCCTTCCGTTGCAGCGCGCTGACAGGTTTTTGCCAACCGTCTGTATCGGCGTGCAATCTGCTATCGCCGCTCCTCCCCCGCTGCCCACCATCTACCATCCGCCGTATATCCTGCATTCAGGCGTGACGCGAGTCAACCCCCACCGCTCCTGACGCTACTGACGTAGGCATATGAATGTGACCGCCTCTGCACTTTGTGCATTGCTCCTGCTGCATTAAGGGATCTGGGCATAACCGCGGCTCCGCTGTGCCGTGTGCGTGGTGGTTACGTTTCAGCCTTTTACGCTTCATAATTTTCGTATTCAGGAATTGCATAAATTTAGCCTGCAATCGGCGGGTGGGGTAAGCAGTCTGTCAGACGGCATTACTTTCCCGGCTGTTTGGTTATTTATTATTTTCGGGACTCGTGCAGACAGGTAACAACCGCACCACGCTTTTGTTCAGGAGTGCTTTCTTAATCTATTGAGTTTTATTCTCCTTCCCACACCCCTAAATAACGAAAAGTATTTGCAATGCTAAGTATAATTTATATTTACTATTCGGAATAATCGACAATTTAATGTGATTGATAATGTATTGCCAGCCCATTAATATGCGATAATCAGATTGAAGATATAGTAATTCATATTAAAACAATTAGGAAAATATTTCAACAATACCTAAGTGTATTTAAATATTGCCATTGACTCCAATTGTGGTTTTAATCATTCAAATAAAGTATATTTAAAGAAAATGATGGTTTTAATGTGTTCAGCCCAAAGTCAGCACAAGAAGGGAAATGAATTTCAGAAACGCTTCCTGCTTTCTGTTGTAATCCAACCCACACCAAAAAAGAAGTGTCACATATTTCAGGAACTTGGAAAGTTATGATGCGCCCAACCGCCGGCCACAGTGCGTATGGGTAACTCGGATTTCCATCTCGGGTTCGCTGCCAATTTAGCGACTGGCGTTGCGCAAGTGCCCTCGCCTGGCCTGCCGCTTGGCCAGCTTTGGGATTTTGGGACGGCCAACGGCTCCGCTGAGAGCGTCGGCATATGGCCTGGAGCTCAAGTTCAAAGAGAGCTGAAACCGAGTTCTCTTTGATTGGTCCCTAAGAGCGGTAACCGACACCGCGCACAGTGGACACCACAGTGGAATGGTAAAATAAAATAAAGTTGTAAACCTAAAAATTTACCATTGCGGATCTAGTTCTTATGTAGTTGCTTACATGTTTCGGTTTTATTTCGAAAATTAAATTTGAGTCTATAAAATATTCCCCAGCTACCATTTATCAAAACTTAATATATTATAAATATATAATTTTATTGCGAAAATGTACTAATGCGGATATATGACGCTAACAAATGTAATCATATGTTTAACAGTAGTAAATAATAATAAATATTCAATAAAATAGTAGTAAGCAACAGTACTATTATTATTAAATAATCGTAACTACTACTGCCATTTAAAATAGTATTAAAAAATACTACTTATTTCAATAGAATTTGTTGCTTAGATTACTATTAAATAGTGAAGCTACCATAAAGTACAATAGTTTATTTTCTGGTTGTGAGAGTAACAATTTTATGGGTCAAAATTAAAATGGAACCCCCTACATAGGAAAAGTGTATTTAATCCGCTCTTTTCAATTTCACCGTGTGACACTCCGTACTATCGAACCGCTGCAGCCACTGTGATGCCGCTTGGCCTGGATATACAGGGCTTGCCAACAAGTTACAGAGTTCTTGTCCTGCAGCCGCCATGACGTCATTACCTACATAAGCGGCCCGCAAAACAGGACACTGCACGCGCAACAGAGCCCGACGTGCACAGCGATGGGACAGGCCAGCAACAGTTGACAGCCGTTATCCGAGCTCGGCGCTCCGGTTTCGCTCCCGCGAGAGAGCTTATCCGTGGGCCGCTCGGTATAAAAAGTCGAGGGTCCTGGCTACAGGCAAGCAGTCGAGCAGACGACTTCGTGGCAAACGTTTCTGGTACAGCGGCTGGTGAACAGCAAAGCGACGCGATTGTGTTTCCGTTACAGTTTGAATCGGTTTCAGAAAGTGGGTGCTGCAGGAGCTTACTTTGGGTGCGAGGCAATTCAATTTGTGAGGCAGTGCCAGTGCGGTCGATCCTTTCGTCGCGTCGATAGCGGAGGAAACTCAATTAACAGGGACTTTGCAGTTGAAACGCTCCCAGGAGGACATCCACCATCCACGATGCAGGCGGTGCACAAATCTGCACACAACAGCAGGCGGCTGATGCTGTTGCTCTCCATGCTGCTCAATGCCGTAAGTCCTGGGGATTATATTTTCAATTTTGAAATTTGTAGCGCTATCAGCAGGATTCGGTCTGTGTGCTTCATGGACCGTGCTTGCTGCCTTCTCCTAAATTTATCTTTTATGTGTTGACGTGTGCGGCGGGGCATGAATTTTGGCGAAATTCGTTTGTGGGTCCCGCTTTTTCTCGACGAGCGGAAATTGAAAATGCGATATAATCCTTAGAAGATTTGTGTATTTATAAAAGCTAATTATAAGTACTTCCCAAGCTGACCGACTTGCGAATTTTCTTTGTGTTGCTTCTTAAACCCAATATGTAATTTGTAACGTATCCACTAACCATTTCAGGACGAAGTGTCCGCTTCCCATAAATTATGTTGTCAGAAGATACAAAATTGTCTCCAGCTGCTCTGCTCCATACTAACAAAAGAACTAAATTATTCTCCATTTTTCAAGGCCCCCGTCCACTTTGCAGTAATTTATATTGGCCAAGCCACGCCACGCCCCATTTAAGCATTACTCTTTTGCGGCTGGTTGCTGCAACAGTTGCCGCTGCGGTTGCAACATCATCATTCGGGCCAGGTCAGGACAACACGTTCAGGCCAGCAGTGCAGTTTTTCATTTCGCGTTTTCACTTTTCTTTTCTGTACATTGAAACATTTTTTGCGGGATGGCTGACATTTCTATTGTCCCTGGCTGACATATGGTGACATTTACCCATATTCGCGGAACTTGGTATTCCCCTGACAGCTGTTCGTCATAACTGGCTGCCGAAAGCAAACTAAAAGCACTTTGTCAAATTGTTTTTTCATAATACAAGAAAGAAAGTTCTTTACGTTGGGTAACTAAACGTCTTTTAGCTTTCACCAAACATTAATTAAAAGTTTCTTTGTTGTTAGCAAGAGACTTAAGACGCTGAGAAATCTCAAGTTTCAAGATCCTAATCCGTTTTCAGCTGGGGAGAGAACAAATTTTTAGCTTTATGGATGTTGAAAGAAAATGAGGAAATAGATATTTTGTGATGACAATAATTAAAACGGTTTTTAGGTACATAAAAATCAAATATAATACAATTAAACTATTTAAAAACATAGCGATGGCAAAAAAACACAGATTTTTTATTTTCACATAAAATTGAATATGTCCTGTATAAAGTTTTTATGAAGCTTTCAATCAGAATCTTATCTTTCATTGACATTCGCAAAGGTGTGAGGATATATCTGCAACGTCAGCGAGAGCAGCTACGTCAGCGACAACTGCAACGTCAATGACAACTATTGTACAACTTGGTTCAATATAGACTTGCTAGTACTTTTTTTCTTCTATCAAAACTGCAATGTATCGCTGCACTAGAGACAACGAGTCAGCACTTAAACGTGTGACGATGCAAACAATTGAAGTGAAAGGGAAACTGATATCGAAATGACACAAACGCGTCTGTTTGCCTTTTTCCTGTACCAGGCCAGATATGAAAGGTTTATGATATGACTCGTCATTGTCGCTCGCCGCGGTTATTTAATAATCCCAGAAATCAATAACCACCAACTGAACGAATCAACAACAATAAATATTCATATTTACCAGGGCTTTCGCATAATAAGGATATCGCGTATACGCACCGAACGAGTCGGAGGAATGAGCAAAGCACTAAGTTTACAAAGTCCATTTCCTTTTGAAAGGAGTATTTGTAAATATTCGCAAATGTTGACTTGGGGTCATTAAGAAATTAAACAAAAAGGATTGTTTTTGATAATGTCTGAAAAGTTTTCCGAAGATGTCCTTTAGAACTGATTGATTACATTGATTAAATGAGTATGCCATTCCTAGACCTTTCGCACACTTTATCGTCTTGTTTTCTTTCCATTAAGTTTCCTAACTTTGAGCACTTTGGGTCGATTCTGATTAATTCAGCTGCCAAAAATATATTATGCGAAGACTGCTGCGAAAAGGACAAATAAGAAAATGTAAACAGAAAACAGGGAACAGGCTTTCATATATCAATTTCATGCCTTGTTCCCATTGATACGCCAGTTGTGAGTTTACATTTTTATTAAAATGCCAGCAAGTCAAATTGATTTTATTGGAAGCACAATGGTAATCAATTTCTGCTCCACACAAAGCGCGTTATTGGGCGAGATGGGTATGAAGATCCCTTCTTTGCCATTACCAATGTTTGCTTTGCATATATTTTCACAAATCCAAAGGGAGGGTAGTTTCGTTTGCAAGCGAAAGATTTTCATTATACATACAAGTATATCAAAATGCTTTATGGAGAGATGCCAAAATCATAAGACTACATATTAAATTTGCATAAAAATATTACGAACACGTTTAGGTTCATAAATTCATTCATGTAATAAATGTACGCATGTCGACTTAGATAGGAAAACTAAGGCAAGAGAATTTCCTTTTGGACTTACCCATTTAGAATTTGATACCACTTCTGTACTTAGGTCGAGTTATCTTTTCAATTAATCAGTACAAAAACTTCGAGTGTATGCCGCCGTTCTATTTTTTTTTCTGGGCCAGTAATTTCCACAAGCCTTCCGAACTATTTTTATATGAGAATTGTTAGGTTGGATTTCTCCTGTTGAAACTGCCCACAGAGGGATGTAGAAAAAGGAGTTACATGTGGGTTTCATTGAAAGAACAATTACTGTTAATTGAGGCATTTACACGGAATGGACGCATTTGAGACTGAATGTCAGTTCGGCTACATGGCCCATGAAAGTTTAGTGTTATGGATACGAACAGTTCTGTATGGAAACATCTACTGGCTGGGCTAAAAGAGGAATGGAATATTACAATTAACAAACTAATAGAATTTTTTAATTATTTCTCCTCGATAAAATGAAAATTTCTTAACAGAACCTATTTTGCTACTTTAAAGATTCTTTACGCATAATACCCTTGGAATGTTGTACCTTTTCGGTCTCACCTTCCTTCACAAATTCCCGGAGAGCAATGCCGCTGTCGGACTCGCCCCCGGGATCAAATTCTTGGGAAGGTCAGAGCACTTAAGTTTTAATATTGCGCACGGTATTTATTTAAATGAAAGAAAAAGCAACAAAGTACACCATTAAACTGTCCATGGAGGGCATGGAAAAACAGGGGCAGGACGTCTGCGATAATAAAATTTGCCTGCGGCTGGGCTCAGGCGACATAAGCGGCTCAGCCGGCATCACAGGAAAAACAAGAAAATCAGTAAGTGTCGGGGGAGGGGGGAGTGCGGAAAGAGGACCTTTGCGGTCTGTAGGGTAGCGAAATGTCTCCAGGACTTCTGATGCGCCATCCAAATAGCGCTCCTGGCCATTGCTGATGGTGCATAATCTCACGCCTAATTAGGCAAGCGATCTGAATCCAATCCGATTGCCATCATTGCCGTTTATTGGACATGTTCTGGCGTCTGTCCACTTGAGTGGACTCACGGTTGGTTTAATTAGGTTCGCTTTTATTGCTTATTGATTTTTTCCGCCTTGTCGAGCTTAAACTTTAATTGGACTCCTTTTAATTGCGACTGCACAAGTATTACGGCTAATTTCAGCAGAAGAAATGTTTTGCTGTCAGAAGCAGACTACGAAACTGCTGAGATCTCGCAGGACCTGGCCAAAAGGTAATTTAATTATGCAAACAATGGCAATGGGATTCTAATTGCGCTAAAGAGCCACCTGCTTAATAAAACGGATTAAACTACGCAAGATTCATAATTTTAATAGCTCGTAAACCCCAAATATTTAACGTTCTCTCCAGCAGTTTTAAAAGTGGCAAAAATTACCGAAACGAGGACCCAACCACACAAATTGTTACGCAACACACAAGGCTCCCATGAAAGGACTGCTCGACTATGCAAGCCCACGCAGCACAACGCCCCTACATCGGGCATTTTTCACTTGTTTGTTTAGGAAATGCTGGCGACAAGACCGCTTTTCCATGGCTAACAAATTGTTAAAGCCTCTGTGACGTAATTTAATGTTACTTTGTACTTAATATACATATTTTACATTTTTCCATTGTGTTTGATAAGCTTTTGTTTACTGTACTTTTCGCACCAGCGCGATAGAAAAGCTTTGGTTTTACAAAAAAAAAAAACAATTTTGACCATTCTTAGCATTTTTATTAATGAATGTTCTATAAAAGATTTATGAATGAATGTTTTATAAAAGATTTGTGGCCAAACAATATATTGATAAATAAGTTTTCCCAGCGAGGGTAAACCCAAAGGAGAACTACGATTTGCGAATTCCAAACAAAATCCAAAGGAAAACAGTTGACTTAACAAACACCTTTGGGTTATTATTTCAAGTGCTAATAAGACAGAAAGCTGGGTCCTACAAGAGGCTGTCAATTTCTGCATGAGATTTACGGGCACAGACGCCGCCAGCCAGCACGTCCTGCAACACATCCTGTGAGTTCATCCTTCCGCCTCCCGTACTCTAGGCAGGCCAGTTATTAAAAGCGGAAGCTCTGTGTCCTGGACCACCCTCGGCAATCAGTTGGAAAGGAAGGCATCCTGGGAGCTCACATACTCGTGCCTTCGAGATAACCTCCAGCCGGCCTGGAATTATCCTTTCGGTTGAGCGACCATTTGGCAAACAAACTGCTTCGACCTGTCTTCACATGTTGTTTTGTACGTGTACGTTGAAGAAAAATGTTATGACTTTGGCTCAGACACTCCTGTTGCTCGGCTAAACAGTCATGTGTGAACCTAATTCTCGTTCCTCGTTTTGCTGTTTTTCTCGTTTTACTTGAAAGGCTGATAAGTCAATGCGACAAGAAGTCGCTAAGAGTTAGCTTGGACCACAGTGGTATCTGATTTTACCCACTCCGGGGCTCCTGGCACAATCATCGGTGATGACGATGTCTTTGGGACGCTAATGGACTCTCCAAAGTAGGCAACAATAAAGTAAATAAGTCGAAAGTGGTACTTCTACAGAACCATGCATCGTTCATGAGAAGCTTTTGGAAAATTAATGACCCCAAGGGCCCATTAAAGTAACTTGGTATCTTTTGATTCAGGACGGGAAAACTTTGAACCGTCGAAAAAGCGCCATGTGTCAACACATTTCAAAGTCAATTTAGTGTAAATAATTGCGACAATTAAGTGGGAGACAATGTGCGTTTCCTTTGGTAATCCCACAGCGTGGGAGCAAACTCGACATTCTAGACCCGATTCCTGATTGAAATGTAGATGTTGCTTTCTATTTTCAGGCCATCCAGCCACGCTCCATTGTAGTGAGCGCCACGGATGATGTTGCCAATGTGTCGCCCTGCGAAATGGAGTCCCTTATAAATCAACTGATGAACCCAGAGTACCAGCTACACGTAAGTCACCTGCTTCAGTCCGTATTTATCCTTGACGTTAAAGGATTTACTGAGGCCGTGGAAGGCAACATCTGCCCCAGCTTTGAACTTAAATTGCTTTCTGCCATTCCATCCCGCAAATCCCTAATCCTTAGGCCTCCGCTTTGCGCAATCAACTGAAGAACCTACTCCGAGAACGACAGCTGGCCGTGGGTGAGGAGCAACCTTTGGGTGAGTACTCAGACTACATGGAGGAGGACAAGCGCTCGGTGGCTGCTCTGGCGGCCCAAGGCCTCCTGAACGCCCCGAAGAGGAGTCTGGCCACCCTCGCCAAGAACGGACAGCTGCCCACGGCGGAGCCTGGCGAGGATTACGCCGACGCAGATTCCGGCGAGCCGAGCGAGCAGAAGCGCTACATTGGCTCCCTGGCCAGGGCCGGCGGATTGATGACCTATGGCAAGCGGAACGTGGGCACCCTGGCCCGCGACTTCCAGCTCCCCATCCCCAACGGCAAGCGAAACCTGGCCACAATGGCCCGCCTGCAGAGTGCTCCCTCCACCCACCGGGAGCAGCCGAAGCGGAATGTAGCCGCCGTGGCGCGCTACAACTCGCAGCAGAGCCACAACCAACGCGCCGGAGCCGAGAAACGCAACCTGGGAGCCCTGAAGTCTTCGCCGGTCCATGGAGTGCAGCAGAAGCGCGAGGACGAGGAGATGCTCCTGCCCGCCGCCGCCCCCGATTACGCCGATCCCATGCAGAGCTACTGGTGGTACCCCAGCTACGCCGGCTATGCTGACCTGGATTGGAACGACTACCGCCGGGCAGAGAAGAGATTCCTAGGTGAGTGCTCAGCCGGTTCCTGGGAGAACTTGAACTTAAAGTCTTGCGGGTACGGGTATCAAATCCTTCCGAAGCCGAGTACTTTCTGCACACCTAACATTTATCAGCACCCTGCACCTTAGCTAGGAGCCATGTGGCACTTTTTCTAGCACAGTTATGTACATATGTTTATATTATCATCCCCAAAAAAGACACCTCCAAGGATCCCGAGTTGTTCGGCATCGAGCATGGCAACGATGCCACTGCGGTCGCAGACGAGGCGGATGAGGAGCCGGATACGGAGCAGTTGCCATCGCCGCAGAAGCGCCACATTGGTGCCGTGTACCGCTCCGGATTCCTGCCCAGCTACCGCTACCTGCGAAGCCCAGGGGGCGGTGGTGGCTACGGCGGGGCCGGGGGGCGTTTCAGTCGCTCGGGACGTGACGCCAGGCAATTTGTATGAGTAAATGGCGATGGTTCGATGTGTGCTGCTTACTTTGATTTTATTCTTTTCCTTCTTTCCTTCTTTGTTGTGGAAATTATGATTGTTTTTTGTTCGAGTTCTAGTAATTGGCCCAGAGACCTTTCATCTCTGGCCCTTGGTGTGCCTGTCCCCTGTCAAGTGGTAGTGTTTTGTTGACACGTTTCACAAGTAGCATGTTAGACGTCGTTGATCATAAATTGGCTGTTGGGATTTGTTGAATGCTTTGTGTTATTTCAGCCGGGAAACTGGCTGAGATTTCGTTGTGTCACTTCCTACTTTATTATCCAGTCCGCCGAGAGCCCCAACAACAATCAAGCGTATTTCTCAGATATTTCCGTCGGCACCTCAATGTAATTTTTTCCATTTAAATGACGTTCGGAAATTCGATTTCCGAATACATAGTAGAATACGTTTGCACAAGGACTTCCTTCGTTGGGGACAATCGGCTAATTTCCGGCACTTTGTCTGCCTTCGGTGGGCTTACAAGGAATAGCTTTAACAGGTTCTGACGCCGATGTTTCTTAAGTTACGTTGAAAAAATATGATGGTCCAAAAATAAATTGCACAAGGGAAAGGTACGCTAATAATCAGCTTTGTTGTTCTGATCTGTACAAGCCACGATAGATTTCAACAAGTGGCGTATACGTAATACGTTTCAGTTCAAAAGTATGCAACATATTTTGAGTTCATATTTAACAGCACTTGAAAAGAGGGGCGCTGTTTTCAAAGAGTATGTAGATACAATTCCATGTATTATACATCATGTTAACGAACGTGCACTCAAAGAAAACTTTCGGCAGTTCGGTGCTCCTTCAAGTGTGATTCTGGAAAATAGCTGTTGTCAGACATTTGTATATAAATTCATTTAGAATAAATTGTTACATTTTTGATTTAGTGGTGTTAAAATACTCAGTTTGTATTGGCATGTTTAAGCTCATTGGCATGATCTGGTCTTTCTGTGGACTTCTTAATCTTTCGTTTTCCTGCTAATTTTTATTTATTTGCAATTTGTACTGTAGCATAGCTGTGGAGGGTCTTTAGCGAATGGACTGCATCCTGGACCTAGCGCATTGACTGCGAAACTGTTTTCTATTCTGTATTCCTGTAGACCTCTTGAAGAAAGCCAGCTAGAGGAGACATAATAATTCGAACGGTGTCTTGCCCCCAACAGGTCGGGTACTACCCCCAACACGAGCGACTGCGTCAACCCACCGCAGCCGTTTGTAAGCAGTGTTTCATCCCCAACCAACCGATGATCAATTGGAGTGGTGCTGGCATACGCGGTCGTCTCTCTAAGTACTACGTGGATCCGGAGGCCGCTCCAGCGCGCATGCCCAGCCTCTCCACCAACTCGCTGCCTTCGGGACGCCCTCCGCGTCCGCTCCTGCGCTCTGGGGCTCCAGTCTATCCGCCCTTCCACACTTGGGGCACTCCGCCGCGTATCACAGCACTGCATCGACGAGAATTCCGACGCAACTTGGACAATTACGAATACTAAATATCGACAATATACTCTTTATGCGAATTACGCGATACAGATTACCTTAATACCGTAGCCGGAATATAGAACTATTCAGTGAATGTACTAAATGTAGAACCCCAAACTTATTGGTCAAGTCACACGCAACACCTGCGGCCCTCTCAACTACCGAGGCTAGCGAGTGAAATCGAGAGCTGTAGTTGGAGGTGCTCCACTTTGTAGGATCTGTATTGCTATAACTCTCAATGTATAAATTATATTTACAAAACTGAAGTAACTGATATCAGTGCAAATCGAATAACGATATATATCAAAGCAAATCATATCGTCTCTATCATTTTATCTCTTGAAGGATTAGTGCCAATGTTGTACCTTGCAAGAACTAGAGCTCGCTCAAAGAACTTTATCCTTCATTGCTAATATACTGATACCCGTTTAGATTCCTTTCCCAAACGTCTTTTATGTGTATATGACAATAAATATTTCCCCTAGTCCAAAGCTAAGTATTGCCACCAACGATCATTAATATATGAGAGTGTTAACAAACTGCGTCAGAGACAATAAAACTTGGTGAGAAATAATGAAAGTATCAATTTATATATACATAATTATATTATACATACATGTACTTCAGACAATAAATAAAGTATTGACAATAAAATATAACAGGAGTATCGAGTACTCCACTACAAGTCATTTGGATTGATTTTAACTTTTTCAAATTATTGGTAGAAGACCTGGAAATACGAAAGAATATAAAAAATATCTAATTAACTGTGTGTAATAATAAGTCTGATGTTGTCAATAATTAATTTAAACGAATATGAATTTTCAAATCAAAGTATTTCAAATGCGAAAGGTTAATCAAATAACTTATTACCAAGTATTTACTTCGATTATATATGAAACCTATCTAAGCGCGTGCATAAGGTTGAGCTTTGTCAACAGACACAGAGCTAGGAACTCGCATCGGATGTAACCACTAACTATCAACGTTATTTATCTGTATACACATTATGTATATCTTATAAAAATAATGCAAATATATACAAATATTACTGGTTTGTTCCTATAATACAATGACCTGTGTTTTAATATACCCTGTAAATTTAGAGTAGGTGGATTTCTACTGCTCCCATTTTTATGGTAGGAGAAAATTTTTGTCTTAAGTGGATTGATTTTTTATCTAAAGGACACCAGTATAAGAATAGAATGATTTTTTTTTATTTCTCCATTTTATTTTCAACAAGAAAGCAACCTAGATCGAGCATTAGACTAAATACCGTTGGATTATAAAATTACTCACCTTACTACTTGAGAACTGTACATAAGCCCGGCAACGCAAGCCTTTCTCCTAGGGCTAGCAGCACATCAAACATGCCTGTCAACCACTTTTAAAAAAAGAGAGTGGGCAATTACAATAATATACTTTTATTACTCTTTTGATCACTACGATTTACAAGAGGCGCCTTTTGTTTTTGCAAACTCAACGCTCAGAAGTACCTTTCACATCCAATTTTCGTATTGTACTCAACAACTTCTCATTACTTAGGTTAATAAATATACATTGTTATCTAGCTATATGTTCATAATGCTTGTATGGAAACGTTGCCAGCCTTAATGCGCCTATAAAAGCCATGTAATGCACATGCAGTAAGCGAAGTAATCCTAAATTATAGCCAAGCCGATATTTTCCATATTCACGTTTGCGGGTTTAAATAGTTGCCTAACATCTACATGTGCCTCTGCTGATAATTGAAATGCATAAAACTAACGCGAAAATGTAATGGCTCTCGTTCGCGAAACGACGATCCATTACCTCATGACCAGTACTTGGCCTGACCCTGCGCCGGCAGAGGGTGGTTGTAGGCAGCAGCGGCCGCCGCATTCCCGTGGGCCGCTGCAGCGGCATAGTCATTCAGCTGGTGCTGGGCCACGTGGGCATTGTAGTTGGCGGCGGCCACCGCCGACTGGTTGAGGTGGTAGGCGGCCTGCCAGTTCGAGGGGGTCTCCAGCTTCGAGTAGTTGTCGCTTAGGTGAAGCGAAGGCGAGATCTTTGAGACGCTATCGGCGGTTAACTTGGAGAAGTCGTCAATGGTCAGCTTGGAGTAGTCTGCAATGGGAGAAAGAAGAGGGGGTTGGATTAGGACATAATGTTGAATACATTTCGAGAGGCCACCCACCTTGATGGTAGTAGTTCTGACTGCTAAAGTGTCCCGGCTGAGCAAAGCTCCCGGGAAATCCGTGCTGCGCCGCACTCTGGACCAAGTCGTAGCCACCCATCTGGGTGTGATGATGCGCCGCCGCAGCAGCCGCTGCTGCACTGTGATGTGAACTGGGGGCATGGGCGGCGTGGTGAACTCCCTCGTTCATGCCGGTTCCATTTGCGGTGGCTCCCGGCGCAGGACTGTAGCCTGCCATAGAGCCCACGCCCAGGGGCCCGAAGCCCAGAGGCGCTGTCGCCCCACTGGGTCCAACGCCCACTCCCACACTTGAGCTGCCACTGTTCATGGGCGAGAGTCCGGAGCTCGAGCCTCCTGAGTGCTTGCGGAGACGGGCTCTTCGGTTGGAGAACCACACCTGGATGCGAGCCTCGGTCAGGGCCGTGGTCTGGGCCAGCTCCTCCCGCGTGTAAACGTCCGGATATTGGGTGCGGGCGAAGGCTCGCTCCAGGGCCTCCAGTTGTTCGGCGGTGAAGGTGGTGCGGGAGCGACGCTGCTTGCGTTTCAGCGGAATCCCAGGCTCCGACTCCGTATCACTTATGTCGGAGTCGCGGCCTAAAACGAGAGCGATGGGAAAGGGATCGGGTCTTTATTAAAAGGCAACTAAAATTATAAACGCCTCGTAGGAAGCCATAAAATTTTCCACGCCCTTTGGTTCTCTCGAAACTGAATCACATTCGGCGGTTTGATCTCCGGACTCAATGAATAGGGCCACCGACGTGGATCGCCGGCGATCGAGTAACCCCCAGATCGACTCGCGGCCCCAGCTCCATTTGAATGGGAGTCGACGTTCACTGCGCGCCATTGCATATTAATTGAGACGTCAGGGAGCGCAACAAATCTGTCAAAGCCACCGACGATCCCACAGAAGGCCAGATCCAGCGGTCTGGCTGCGGACTGGGTGACGGGGGCGTTGCCGCAGGCAGCTCGTAAAAGTCACAGCATTGACAAGTGACACAATATATCACGTTACACAAGAAGATGATCGGCAAGTTGTCAGCGGCCATGGAGGAGTGCGCCAATTAACTTCGGCATCTGTTTACGAAAGGGAAATGGGGAAAGCCGCCGTCATTGGCAATCGGGCTTGAAGCGCGGCGTGAGGCGGAGCGGCCACACGGCCGTGCCAAATTATTTGGAGAGCTCATTACACAATAAACTGCGTTTTCAAGGCGGGGCAAAGTCACAACCCCATCGGCCTAGGATCAAAGCGGAGAAGCGGCACCCTTTGCGAGAATTATTCAACAAGATCACAAGCACATTTTTCAAAATAGGATCAAGAGTATCCTGATTTCGCTGTGACTGTTCTGTTTGTGTGCCTGCCTTTGGAGCGGAAATACTTTGTTTTCGATTAAATTCATCGTCCATTGTCCTGAACTCAAGGGTTCTTGTGCAGTTGAGATAGTAAGGAACCGAGGATGTTGCGGTCAGTGTGAGGGCGCTAATCTCTTCCGGTCTGTCAAGTGAAATTATTAATTGATCTTACGATTTATATTACTTCCTGTTCCCTTTTCGACTGCGACTCTTGGGAGTTCACAATGTGAGAGTATGATCCTCTGAATAGGACCTCCAATAAATCTTTTCTGAGTTTCCAAAAGTCGGTCAAAGCGATCTCAGCTATTATCATAATTCAAAAAAGTATTACCCATCTGCCATGTATGCAAATTTTTAAAATCGGATTGGCCAAAACTTAGTTTTAAGGCCGCAAACTGTAAAAGAATCTTTCGGCACGCTTATGAGCTTCGGCAACCAACAGGCCACACCCAAAATCCCCTAAGGTAAAACCTCCGAAAAACCTCGGAGCGCGGAACGCCCACTGTTTAGTTCGGCCTGTGGTCCAATAAAGAAATCGAAAAGTTCACATGCGTATTAAATGAAAACGAATGGATATGAATGATAAAATACAGAAGTCGGACTATTAATCTTTCAACACACGAAACAATAAAACTTAATTATACGAAATAAGGGGTCGGGCTCCTGGAGTGGAGCTGCAGAAGCCGTGCATGCGGATGGTGGATGGATACCAGGGCAAGAAGACAAAGCAAGGCGGCCAAAGAAACGACACCAAGAAAGGTGGAAGGCAGAAAAATCAATTAGTTTTTAAATGTTAAACATTTTATTAATTTGTTGCTACTTGCCCATCAATAGCGCCCGTATGCGAAAGAGAGTAGGCAACACTGGCGGTCTGGGGAGAAAACAATCCAGCAGCGTCGAAGACAAAAGCCTTTTTATTTTGGCACCAGCACCGACAACGGCAGGGCACCACTTTGGCTACTGTGGAGCTCTTTGAGTTTTGGGCTTTCTTTTCGGTGACTGGTCGCCGTGGAAAAGCGTTTGGGGCCCTGGGCTTTGATAAATTGCTGCGGTTTCGTAATCTGGGCAGGTATTCCATCATTTTTGACGACGTTTAGGCTGTGTTTTCGAACAGCAGGTAGTACTCGCTCTTCAGGAACCGGCCCTTGTGTGGCAAAGTGCAAAAGGCAAGCGGTCATTTTCCCCAGTCTTTCTTGTGAGTATATATTTTTGGAGCCCAATCACCTTTGATGAACAATCGCTGCACGGCCTCTATCGGAGTTGTGGCAAAGATCAATCAGCTTTGTTCTTTTTTCATGTTCGGATAGATATTTATGGGGAGGTGAAGTAAAACCCCTGCAACCCCATCAATCAACAACCCTGACACTGACCCCCTGATTTAAATTGGTGCATCTAATGCAAAGCAGGGCGTTATGTACATATGCCTGGCAGTGCGACCTGCAATTGAAAAGCCCTGCGGGGGGGCTGGGGAACAGGGGATCCCCTACGCTCGGCTGTCAGATGTCAGTTGGAGACACGCGCTCTCCGTTGCCGAGCCACAGATTCGGGATTTGAAAGGCCTCGGACTATGTGACATTGACTTGGGCCCGGCAAAAGGGGTAACCCAGCCCAGCTCAACTTAGCTCATTTCGGTGCTGCTCGATTCCGACGAATGTTGTTTCTTAAGTCTTAAGATTCGTGTCTTAAGATTCATGTCAGCAAAAGGATTACAGGAGCTTTAAAAGTAATGCCGCTTATATGCGCTAAGTTTAACAAGCGCTGCGTCGCACACCGAGGATGGAATGTGGCGGGAGTTTTATATTTGTATTCAAAAGATATAGATTCTGAATACCCTGGGATTGATTAAAATTAAATTTAATTTTAATATCATTAGTATAATTCGAACTCCAAACTTTTTTATTGGTAGGAAGCTAAAATAAGTTAAGTTCTACGGTGTGACTTTTTGAATTGATTTCATCCAATATTATAATTAATTTATTATAAAATAGTAACAAGGCAAAATGTGCAAAATATCAAAAAAGATAAAGAACATAAGTTAACTTTTTTTTGCTGTTGCAGAAACCGTTAAAAGAAGTAAATATACTAGTTCTAGTGAAAAAAAAATAATTACGTTTTTTCCTTTTTTTTAGTTTTGTCTGATATCATGGCCACTACTTAAT